ATGAGACTTTCAAGTCAGGACAATTCAGCACCTATCCTAGTAATTTTCATTACCTTAAACTTAGGCCCTCACCCTGGGGCCAAAGAGGCCTGTGCAAGCTGTTGTCCAAGTAGCCGTGAAGACTTCTGCACAGAACTGGAATCCCTGAAACTGTCTTGAAGGGTTTTAGCTCTGTCCTACAGTTTTCTGAGCGTATGTGCTGAGAACTTAATCAAACTTAGGAAATTTCTCTATAGTTCTCATCAGTATTGACAAATGTGTTTAAGGAACAACAATTCAAGCATTTTAGCTATAGTAGAAAATTGTATTAATTAGTCAGATCTAGGACACCATTGATAGATTTTAGCCAAATAATAAAAGATTCAAATGTTAAAATAGGAAAAACAGATTGTAATCTAATATTTAAAGGAAAGTAGTACCCTATCAAGCAAGTAACCTGATTCACTATACTTATTAGATGATCAGCGAGCAGATCAATGCAAGGTGATGGAAGACAGATTTAGATATCTGAAAGACTGATTATACTATAGAGATAGATGATAACAGAGTTGTAATTTCTGAGATAGACTGAGAACAGAGCAGTACCTGAGGGAGTAGCCTGATGTCTACTGGACTGTGAGATTTACAATGCATTTCAATTTACTTCATTTCCTGTTCTCAGTCTGATCCCTCAGGGAACTTGGAGTTTAAGCTTAAATTTCCAGAATTTAATTTATAAAGGTCATTCAAGATTGTCTGACAAAAAAGCACAAGTACATTTAGATAGCTATAATAGTAGTTGGAAAAACACGAGGCATGTTTGTTTTCTTGTCTTTGTTTTTCCAATGAAACATCCATCTTTTTGATATTAAAAATGAAAAAATGCCTTTTATGCTGTGAAATAAGGAAGAGAAAATAATCATTCAATGCATTTTTCTAAACCATCTACTGATTATACAAGTACAGAGACACAAATATTCAACCATCTTTTGCACATTTTATTACTTCTTAGTCCTTTTAATTTTTAAAATTTTGTTCTTTTATACTGTCATGGCTTTTGTTTAGATGCCCCCTCCCCAACAAAAGACCTCAGGTGGTCACGAGGGGGTGCTTTTTCAGAGGTGGCTGGATCCAGAGTGTGTGACACTGGGATGGATTCATGGCAGTGCTAGAATCAAGAGCACTAGGATAAAGAGTGTAAGGAGCCTGAATAACATGTAAGGGACAGAAAGAGCTGTGGTCCTCCCTTGCTTGCTTTCCTACTTCTGCCCACCATGAACTGTTTCTTCTCTGCAGTGTCTGTTTCTGTGCCACCCTTCCTTGAAACCAGTCAATAATGGCCTGAAACTTCTACAAACTATGGGCTAAATAAACCTTTTCTCCTTTAATTTTAGGTGTCAGGTATTTTGTCTCAGCAACAAGTAAAGTAACTAAAACACATAGGTTACAGTTCATTTGTCTGTCTTTGTTCCCCACAGACAATCCTGTTTCTTTATCTGCACTCCTAGGATTTGAACGGGTTAGAATTTTAAAATATAATATTCATTTTTCCAAATAAAACATACTCTATATGCTAATGAACTGAGAAATCTCCAAATTATAGAAAATGCCCCTGATGTCATAAAAACAATGGCATGATGTTTTCAGGCTCTCTGTAAATGTACATTGCATTAAAAAGAGGGGGGAAAAAAACCTTTCACTTAAGAGTACCAAGCTGTTTCCAGATTCCTTAAAGTATCTCTGGTCTTGAACACTATTTTCTTCTATAACTTCATATGCTAGAACAAGTAAAATGTACCTACAACATCCTTTGAATTTAAAACATTTGTTTAAACATAGCACTGTTTAACAATAGACATTTGTTTGTAGAAAATCACATGAATTCTTTCTTACAGATTAACCAGTCAAAAACATGAATCTCACTCTCTCTTAGAATAAGCTCATTAAGTATGAAAATACAGAAATGCAGCATACTAACGTAAAGACAAGTAGATCACTAGATCATAATCATAGGCCAATGGTAAAAGACAACTTCCTACATCCCACTAACAATTATTTTTAAAAAAAAAAAACACTTGTTCCCCCTTCTGTACCCTCAAGACATAAACTTGTACTAAAAGTGGGCCATGTGTATATTTCAGTCAGGTGATATTTTATCCAAATGGTAAGACTATAAGATTTTTGAAGCAATTCTGATCCAAAATTTAAAAAATGGCGTGATTCTTGCTTTAAGACCCCTCATCCCTTCTCTAGAGTTAGTAAGTTATGATAAGTCAAAAGGACTATAGAAGAAGACCTGAAAGTTTATAGCTCAGGGAACTGAACTGCTTGAAGTTGTCTGTGAGTCCAAATGTCACAGGCAATGAGCCAGCTGTGACCTAGTGTTTGAAGATATGTGATACGTTGTTTCTCTTAAAATAAGTGCATCTAAGTAGACAAAAATGGTAAAATGAAATTAATCCTGGTATATCACTTAGCGAGGAAAGTAGGGAAGAGATTTCAAGGTAGTGGAGAAGAAGGAAAGAAGGGTGCTAGTGGTCTTTCCTTTCCATGTTTGTGAGTAGCGAAAATTCATTTACACAAATGATAGTCTTAGGAGATTCTCCCATTTCACTCCTGTATGAAGCTAAATCTCATTATCCTTAATTGTAAAATGAACTTTGAATTGTTCTTGTAATAAATTCCCACAAACCTACAGACTTAAAAACATTGCACAAATATATTATCTTCCAGTTATTGAAATCAGAAGAAACAGGACCTTGGGCTAACATGAAGCTGTCGGCAACGCCGAGTCCTCCCAGAGGCTTTATTAGAAAACTCATCTCTAACCCCCGTCAGCTTCCAGAGGTCCCAGTGCCCTGATTCTTGCTTGGTTCATGTCTCACTGCACCATCAAAGCCAGTGATGGCCATTTGAATTTTTTCACATCTCAGCATTCTGACTCTGCCTCCTCACCTCCCTGTTTCAGTAATAAGGACCCTTATGATTACAATGGACACTAGAATAATCCACGATGACCTTCCCCATTGCAATATCAGCTCATTAAGCTGCCTTAATTCCACATGTATCTTCAATTCTCCCTTGCTAGGTATCATAGAATATCCACATGTTCTGGGAATCAGGAAATGGACTTCCTTTGGTTCCCTCATTACTGTCACACCAACTAACTTCACAAAATTGAAACAACATGCATAATGCTTATTGTCCTTACGAAGGACTCAATAAATGTTCCTTACATATGAGCATTTATCCAAGAAAAATGGACATGTATCACTAAATCCAGCATAATCCACCAAATCCAAAGTAAACAATGACATAAATAGACAGACAGAGAGACAGATAGATAGATAGATAGATAGATAGATAGATAGATAGATAATAGATAAATATAAAGAATGACTGGATTTTTTAGGTATTCAGATGGATGTTCCTATTTATGCTCATTATATTTAGAAACATTCCTGTTCATATCTTGTTTATAGCACAGACAGTCATTTTATGGATTGACAGCGTCTACCACACAGCAGCGTTCATGAGATCATTGCTTCAAAAGTAACAATCAGAGTGTGCAAAAGGGAACAGTTGACTTGCAAGAGTTAACATGAAGACACAGCTGTTAAGCAAGCAGGACACGTCTCTGAAGAGGCCTCTCAGACACAGAACACCGAGGAAGAACCTCTAAAGAGAAAATCGGGAGCTCTACTGCTTCCCATTAACCTCTATTCAGTTCTGAGATCTAAATTGCCGCTGATTTTTCATCTTTTAATCACTCCACAGAAGTTAAGTGTCCTTGGGAGACACTGCAGAGAGTGGCACACATTTTCATCCCACTGATTCTAAATTAATTTGATCTTTTAACTCCCAGCTACTAAGCTGACTGGGCTGCTAAAAGAAATTATGTTAGAGTGACTTTTTTTTCTTTTATAAAACCTGAATGTAGAAGCTGTGGTTTGTGCTAAATTACATTTAATACTTATTTTCACTCACAAAGAAATAAAAAATACCCAACTCTTTACAATGATGAACATATGAGCATAAAAATATAAGAATTTTAAGGATTAAATCTAAAACCATTTAAAATGTATGCATAACTCCCTTCCAATGATATCAATAGCTACCTATGATATCTTTTTCCTGGAGACCATAAACACCAAATTTTAAAAACTCTAGAAGAGTTAACTCCCACAGGAAGCTAAGAGGATGAACAGATTAGGTTCTTCAAATCAATACCATAAATTTGCCCAATGAATAATAAGGTGCTAGAGTTAATTCTTTATTGAAGTTGGGAAAAGTCACATTACTTCATTACCTTTGTTATCTAAAATTATTTTAAAACCTCACCTAACACTGGGACTATTGCCCATTGCTGGTAAGTAAGATGCTGTCCAAATAATATCTCCCTGAATTAGGTGGCTATAACAAGTATTTATAGTTTTGAGAAAATTCTCTGTGCTTAGGTGGACTACATAAAATAACACTGTCAGTCCCATACATTTCAAAATATTCCTATACTTGAATCCTATTAAATTCTCAGTCAAATGCTACAAATAAAAAATAAAATGGAATAGATTTCACAGTCAGGATAATGAAAATTCTCTTTTTTCTTTTATTTAAAATGAAAATTGTCTTGTTAAAATTTAGCATTAATCATGTCATGAGGAGTAGTACTACCAACCTTGGATAGGGAATATATTAGCTATCAGAAACAAATACTTGCTTGGTCATGTGACCTCTCTGAGTCTTTATTTTCTCTTTTCAAAGGTATTTCATCAAATTTGAAGCTCTGAGATTTCATCAGGATCCTCATTTTACAAAGCATAAAATTATTTGAAACCTAGAGAACTGAAATAGCCTCAAGTAGACAAACCAAGGTTTGTATGCTTGTATTCTTTCCATTTCACTAGCATGTTGCCAAGGTTCTCAGTGCCCTTAACAACCCTCAGATGCTTTAGTTCCTATTCTTGGAGTGATTACTATGGAAAACATTGACAAATAATATCCTCAAAACATGCTCCACTCACGTGGTATGCTGCGAAGTGGAGGAGGAGGCACATTACTAGTAGCTATCATTTGAGAAAAAATCGCACTTTGAAGAGCAGACATAGGCATCTTGGCAGCTCGAAGGCAGCTGATCAGAGAAGCTACAGGGGAGGCAAATGATTCTCTTCACTCTGGGCATCAGAAAGCAGAACCCTCAGGGATTCTCTCATAGGCTGAATCCTGTGGAATCTTCTTGTTCACAGAACTGTATCCTAGCAATGGCATTAGATGGGGAGCCGTGTGCACTATGGGGAATGAGACGTGTAAGAGGCAATTGTGATCCACAAGGCAGATACGGAAGAATGAACAGAACCCACATGTCTGGGGTACATTAAAATTTCATTTTGTTGGTGTTTCATAGTAGACAGCCCCTTTTCTGCCCACGATATAGAAGCTACAGACCCTTTTTGTACCAGCAATAAAAAGAATAGGATATTTATACTTCTCTTCATGCACACATAGAGCAAAACGGGGTTTCTAATTAGTGCACAATAAACTTATCTCTGGTTTTATTTATCCATATTCTGACTATGGCATATGTTATCCATTATTTTCTGCTGGTGCACAATAATGCTGAATATGAAGGGTACTGTATATGATCATTTTGTCTTGTATTTTTTAATTCTTCATGTCATTTGAAGTTTTTAAAAACTCTTTCTCTAATAATTCTTGTGGGTTATATACAAAAAGACTGTGGCCATCCAATACTTGAGTTGGACTAGAAGAATATTAATCATTTTTCAGCCATCTTCATCAATGTAACATTAATGGCTAGAATTTAAAACTAACTGTTGTATTATAAAAGTAACAAGCTTATCTTACAACACTTCCTCTTAAATTGGATATGCACAATAAATTTAGTCCAGTACAATTTTTTCATTTAATATATATTTTTCTGCCTTTGATTTTACAAACTCTTGACTCCTTGTGGACTCCAATTTGTTGAATCTCACTTATAAATGTTCTTTATCTGTATTTCTCCCATACTATCCAGTTAAGTCCCACCACCTGCCTCACTGCTCTTTAGAATGAAATCTAGTCATTTCAACAGTCTCACCTGGATAATTCTTCATGCCTTTTGTTGTAATCAGGGGTTATGCAGTGGACAGTTAGAATCAGGACATGGAGTTTATAATATTTTTGTGGTTGTCACCCAGAGTTAACACAAGAAAATGCAGGAAATCTATTGACTACACTAAAGTCATAGAATATTTAGCCAAGGGGCTGAATCCCACAGTAATATCCCATATGAGTCCAGATGAAGACCCAGAGCTCATGACAATACCTCTCACGAGTCCAACTGGAGGTCTAGAGCCCACAAGGACTCATGCCAGTCTCTTTTACAGATCCATGCTGGGAAGGCCCAAAGGTCAACGATGGAAGCTAGACAGTCTATGCCAGCTTGTGTGAACAGAGGAAATCCATCAATTCAAAAATTCAACTCTCCAAAATATTTTTAATTAGTCCTTCTAGTGTATTTGACATACTTTTTAAATTTCTTCCAAGAGCAATAACATAATTATACTGCCTTTGACAGACAGATATATTAAATTGTCAATGTTTGATCATTCTTCATAAGTCTAATCACTTCTCAACCATTTATTTGTACAATTATTTGGGGCCAGTTACTTCGTCTGCCTTATTCTTGGTAATCCATTCTATACAACATGAGTGATAATAACACCTAATGTGAGTGATAGCAATATTAAAAACAATAATAAAACTATGAGTCCCACATGCAAGACCTAAATATTCTAATCATAAATTTTTATTTTATTTTGGTATTAGTAACATTATTATTTCTGAACTAAACCTTGAGCTACTCAAATGGATAAGAAAAGATTAAAGTAAGAATGCAATAAAAATGGTGAGAAGTTACAAGAGGCAAGAATTTGAGGAAAAGCAGAAAATATTTAAAGAACACTTTTAAAGAAGATTTTTAGAACTTTTGCAATATCAAATAAAACTACACTGTTCCATCACTCTATAAGAATAGACTTTGCAAATGGGGATAAAACTCAGTGGCCCAGCACCTGCTTGGGAAGGGCAAGATTGTGAGTTTGATTCCTGGTACCAAAAAAAAAAAAAAAAAAAAAAAACCAGAGAGAGAAGCCATGCAGGGCCATGAGTCTGGAAGGAACACATTAAGAAGCCAGTTTAACCTTCCGGTAAGCCCCATGAACCATGGAGGGCCCAGGAAGAGAGACAACAATTTGTCCTTCCCTTGAGCTGACCAGCACATTGAGATTCAAGAACACCCTCCCATCCATGTAAGAACTGGCTGGCTCATCACAGGCTGACTTGATAGCAACTGAGATACAAAAACAACTAAATGCTTTTATTCTTTGATTGACTTTTCAGGCCAAAGGCCTATGGACTGAACATCTACTGGGAGGATAACAACTTGAAATGCAGCAAATATGCTAAGATGGCATAGATAGATAACAGCCGGCTACAAAGGCTCCCTGAGATAGTCAACTTAGAACTCAACATAATACAACATGGGGAGCCCCGAACAGAGGGATAGGAATTCTCTCATTGTAAGAAGAAACTTAGGGTGAGAAAAAAACAATCAAATATACACTCCTGGCCGGCTGCACCACACTGTAGCCCTGAGCACCTCCAGGCCACCTGCAAGACAGACCATCCCAGCACCACCGCCTCCAGCCACCACTTCCAACTCTGTCACCAGGGGCCCGCCAGAGGCTGGAGTGAAGCGACTGGGTGCCCACCAGCTGCCCCTGCCCCCGCCACCATTGTTGCCACCGCCACTGCCTCCCCAGATCCCAGCTATGTCCCAAAGGGCACGAAGAAGAGGGTGCATTGTGGAATCACAAGCATGGGACCAGACCTGCTGGGATGCATCACTGCCTTTGCACTTGCTGCTCGCATGAGAACACGAGCCCACAGTGCCAGTGCTGAGTGGGCCCCCGCCACCCAAGGTCCCCAGGCAAGTGAGTGTGTCTTTGCCGCCGCCAGGCCCACAGGACCAGAGCCCCACGGAGCCAGCACTACAAATGGAGCCCAAAGAAGCTGCTTCTGAAAACACCTCTTCAGACAATAATCAAAAATACTGAACCAGAACTTTCCAGTTTCCTGCTGTGATTGATCAGCTTCAGGGAATTGGGCCTGCCTGCTTATGCCCTGAACTCTGGACTGGGCGGCCTGGGGTGAGTATCCCCACACTGTCCCAAGCCCCTGGGTTTAGATACCTCAGATAACAGCAAATTGGGGAGGGCAGCAAAACCCCAGTCAGCACACTTCAGAAAGACCCTAAGCAATACGGAGAGGGCCAGAGACACCCCCCCAGACACACCTGTCTGAAAGAAACCAGAAATATGACAAAAGATAGAAATAAAAAAATCCTCCAGCTGCTGACCCTGAAAAAATGAGCCCAGAAGATATAAATACAGAAGAGAAACAGTGCAGTAATCATGCAATACTAGATACAGCATCAGCAGACATAAAGAAATACCTTCATGACCTCATAGACAAACTTAAAACTGTACTTCTGATCCAAGTGAGGCAAGATATAAAAAGATTAATTAAAGAAATGACAAGCATCTCCTAATAGAACACAGATGGAAGAACAGAGAAACTCAGAAAAGGAAGAGAAACCTTTCATGAAGAATATAAATAAAATCTAGAATACATAAGGCAGATCTAAAGAGATTACCAGGAAACTAAAACCTCCATTGAAAGTTGGCAAAATGCCTTGACAGAAACTAAAGTTAGCCTTTTGAAACTTGAAGAGAGATTTATGGTGTGTGATCGTGAAAGAAAAGATCACTTAAAAATAACAAGGAACCAGGAAGAAACAATACAAAGGCTAGAAGACGACAAGAGGATTTATAACTTAAGAATAAAAAATGTGAGCAAAGAAGCAGGAGTAACTACAAATGAACTACAAAGAATATTCACAGATATAATTAAGGAAAATTTCCCAAGCACAGGAAAAAGAAATGATATCCAGATAAAAGAGGCATACAGAACTCCAGCCACCTACAACCAAAACAGATCTACACCCAGACATATAATAAAGATTCCAGAAATCCACCACAAGAACAGAATATTAAAAGCAGCCAGAGAAAAGAAGCAGATTACCTACAATGTTGTTATCAAAATAACAACAGACTTATCAACACAAACCCTCAAATCGAGTGGAGCCTGTGGGGAAATAGTGCAAGCCCTGAAAGAAAATAACCTCCAACCAAGACTGATGTACCCGGAGAAAGTCTCTCTCAAAATTAATGGAGAAAAAGATATTTCAAAGACAAAGAGGAATTTTGGGAGTTCATGGCCACTAACCCAAACCTATAAAAAATACAGAAGGACATTCCAGAGAAAGAGAGGAAAAAAATACCAGGATTCCAGCAACAGTGACAGAGAGGTCTCAATGAATGGAACAGACAGTGAAATAAAGGATAAAGTGTACAAATAATGAAGAAGAATAAAATAGTAGAAATGAGGCAGAGACAGTAAGCTATAATCTTTAATATAGATAGCCCTGATACACTAACAAAAAAAGAAACACAGGCAGAGTAGATTAGAAGGCAGGATTCATCGAGATGCTCTGAATAGGAGACACACTCAACCTGAAAGAGGGTTAATAAACTGAGAGTCAAAGATGAGAAAACAATGCTTTATGTGACAGGAAACTAGAGAGAAATAGGGACAACTCATCCAGCAGCCACAGATAGACTGCAAAGCTATGACACTTTTGGGCAGTGTAGAACTACACAGCTGGAAGGAAGGACAACCTTGTGACTTTAGTAAGTAAAGAAGTACAGCTCAAGATCAAGCTCAGGGGTGAAAAGATTTAGCAACATTCAGATAGATAACAGGTTGGCCCCCTAATCTATAAACTAAAAGAGCTAAGTGGGACCCAAAATATACAAAGCACGCTGAGAAAGGGAAAAGGGAGGAACTGTCTAAAAAAGGAAGGCAGAGGACATTGTTAATAGTGTATCAGGATTTAAATGTCACAGTAATCTTATCGTTCTGTTTAGTTTGACTATATTTTGTTCCGATCTGTCTTCTCATGCTAGGTTTGAGGGCACAGACAGCTATCCCAAAAATAGCAGGCTATACCACAGTAACTATCCTTAATTTCCTGTTAACTTACACTGAAACCCTGTGTTACTTACATTGTCTTACTA